GATTGCCCACTCACCAGAAGCGCAATCTTAATGCGCGTATAGAGATCTCATGTAGCCGGAGGTCCTGTGGAAGTATCCTCTGATGGTCGCTCAGACGGCGGGTGCCGGGGATAATGGTCTGGTCTGACACTCTTAATACTCCAGCTTGGACAGGTACCTGGAATACTGGGCTGAGGTGTGGAGGCTCAGTGCCAAGTAGTAAAGATAAAATTGCTCATAGTGTAGTACTGTAAAGATTTAAATCCCTGAGATGGGAAGTCCCCCCGGAAATGGGTGATATTAACAGTGAACAAGAGTGGTACCATTTTTTTAATATTTTTTTTTTCTTAAAATTCCTTATAACTAGGAAAAAGAAAAAAACTCACGTATTTTGGATAATGAAATCAATAAAGTGAGAGAACAACTCACACCGTTTAAGGGCACACCAGAATACATTGCAGAATCTAGCAAACTGCAAACCTATTTAGAAGGTATGGAACGTACACAGAAAAACAAAAAATGTAAGAAATACTCTAGGGATACTAGGGATTACCAGGAAAACCAAGTATTTAAATGGAAGATCCCCAAAGCAGACACTTTTCAGGACAAATATCCTTCAACCCCCAAGAATAATTTCACTAAAAATACTGCTCCAGTTTTGCACATAGCACTCCCCACATAAGGGAAGAGAGCCAATACGGCTCTAGATCACCTAGGAGACCTATGACTAGGAATAATCCATCTGTCCCCGTCTATAACAGATTTAGACCCCTTTATGATGTGGAAGATGATAATGTAGGTTCCAGGGATATGAGATGGCATCCGGTTCGTCCTAAGAAACCACGCCACTATAATAATAATTTTTCTCATCAACAACAAATTAGGAAGCCACTTAATCCTAATTATCATCAGGGTACATCTAGGAAGACTCAGGGTCCTCCTCAACATCCCAGTTCTCACCATAATGGACAATTTCATCACTCTTCACCAGAGAAGTGAAACATATCCGAATACTTATAACCGTAGGAATCCTAACGGTTATAATAGGGTCACAACCATCATCATAGTGATTCCAATAATTACGGCTATCACCAGAATAATACTTACAATATGGATTCACAACCACGCTCACATTGGTTAGGAGGGGGACACACACGAAAGAGAAGTGTAAGAGTAGAGGATGCAAGGGAGGAAAGGCTCAACAGACCCAAAGAAAAGGAGAACGTAATCGGTAAGGGCATATACAATTTGAGCGGAATCCCCCTCACTACACAGGAACTTACAGTTCTAGACAAGGGACTAAAATATGCACCTAAAACGAAACTAAATACGTTTCAGACCTATGTGGACATCCACAAGTTCTCAAGGAAGTTGTCAATTAAGAAACACATTTTATGAGTAAAACCACTGGATCTAACAATTTAACTATCAACTCCCATCATTCCAATCTTAGAAATGCATCTCTATTCAACCCTCCACCGCATAAACAATCATACATTAATATTTTTAAGGAACTGTTAATCAAGGACATTGAAGCTATTAAGATCAAACGGCCACATAACTCCAGAGACCTAGATATAGGCCTTAAATCCCTGCTGAACAATAAAGACCTAGTTATACGGCCTGCAGATAAGGGAGGAGGCGTGCTTGTCCTGAGAAAAACAGATTACATTGCAGAAGCTTCAAAGATCCTTGGAGACAAGGATACTTACAATATACTTCATAAAAACCCACTCACTACATTCAAACGTTCTTTAAAGAGTCTCATCAAACAGGGATATGATCTCCATGTAATCAACAGCAAAGAAAAAGACTATGTCCTAAGGTACCCAGACTTCCGGTATTCTATTATCTTCCTAAAATACACAAAGATCCCATACAACCTCCTGGCAGGCCGATAATCAGCGGGATTGGTTCCCTTTGTTCCAAAGTTGGTGAGTACATCGGCTACATTTTACAACCCCTGGTTTCATCTACTCCATCCTTCATCAAAGACACTAAACAGGTACTGAATGAGGTTGGTACACTTAACTGGAATCCAGAACTCACTACCTTCCTTATTACAGCGGATGTAACCTCACTATATAGTAATATTAATCATGATGATGGTATGACAGCAGCGGATTACTATCTTGATCTGGCTGAGAATATCTCCACAACACACAAAACATTAATCTTGGACCTATTGAATTTCGCAATGAGAAGCAACTACTTCTGGTTTAATAACAATTTTTATCTACAAACCAGAGGCGTCGCGATGGGGGCCAAATTCGCCCCCAGCCTGGCCAACCTCTTTATGGCCAGGTGGGAGGAGGATATTATTTATGCTAGAGAGTGGCCAGAATTAATATTTTATAAGAGGTACATAGACAACATTCTTTTGTTGTGGCAGAGAGAAGAAACAGCCCTAATTAATTTTTTGGGACTTTAAATAACAACAATCTGAATATCCAATTCACCTATTAGTATAGCGTAGATCGTGTTAACTTTCTGGATATCACCATTATTAACAAAGGAGGATATTGCATTACAGAAGCGTACTTCAAACCCTCTGATAGAAACGGATATATCCCTACTGACAGCTGCCACCACCCACAGTGGCTGGTGGGCATTCCTAAAAGCCAGTTTATGAGGATAAGGCATAATTGCACTGAAATTGACACTTACCATGACAAAGCACAAATCCTCAGACAGAGATTCTTAGACAAGGGATATTTGGCAAGCACCCTAGATTTGGAGATTGACAATGTGGCCATATGAATAGACACAACATGCTCTCAGGACCACCAACAGTAAAAAAGAGTATGTTTTGTCCTTTCATCACACCTTATTCTATCCAACACAAAACCATACGCCATATAATGAAGAAAAAAGTTCTCAGAACGGATCCCATTCTCTCTAGTGCCCTACCCTCTAACCCGGAAGTTGTTTTCAGGAGGATACCATCTTTGCGCAACACGATTGCCCCCAACATAACCGATCCTCCTTCTCATCCCAGCCTATTCGGTAATCTTAAGGGCTTCTTTCCCTGTAAAAAGTGCCAGATTTGTAAACATAGCAGGATGTCGAAAAAGAAAATTGAGTCTTTTATCTCAACCACAATGGGAAAAGACTATAACATATCTACTTTTATTTCTTGCAATACCTGACACGCGGTGTACCTCCTGGAATGCCCATGCAAGAAACAGTAGTAGGCCGGACTACCAGGAGACTCCGTGACCATTTTCGTGACCATGTGTACAACATTAAAAGAGGCTTCTGTGAACATTCGTTGTCAAAACACTATAGGGATTTTCATGATAGAGACCCCTCTTCCCTTAAATTTGTAGGGATAGACATTGCACAACATCATTGGCGGGGTACTAATAAATGCAGACAGGTCTCACGCTTAGAAAACTAAGTGGATCTTTGAAATGAAATCCATGACCCCCTTAGGCCATAATGTTGAGGTCGACATTAACTGCTACATCGATAATAGCTGAATTCCATATAAAGTATAACTCTATTAGTACATGGATTTACGGACATATTTCTAAGGTTTTTATTGTATGTGCATATAATGTAGGCATCATGTCTTAACATATCTTAGTTGTTTCTAGACACCATTTTATTCTTAATGACACATATGTTTATTGGGGAATATACATACATACATTTTTTTATATTTACATGTTTTTTATATTTACATATATTTTTATATATATTTTTATAAAACATTTGCATATCTTATCTTATATATTCCGCATTATTGAACTCTCCACACTTCCTGAGATTCATTAATACCTAAGACAGTGTATAACGGATTAATACTTTTATTATCATGAGATAATGCATGTTGCACTTTATAGCGATACACGATTAATTCTCTGTGTACCCTTATCATTTAATATCTTCCTAATTTTCTCATGTCTTATTTGTTACCCATGTGATGTATTTTATCACCCTTGATTGAACTGGTATCGTATTTATTGATTTTAGACTTATGTTGTGATCACCAGGAAAATGGCGACCGCATTTCCAGCGCATGCGCAGTCACCTTTTTTATATTCGTTTTGTATATGTCGTTAGCCAATACTCTCTGAGCATTTAATAACCTTCCAGTCATCGGATTATAACTCATTGGCCATTGCATGGAGTGTGGCTAAACACCACCCTGACTGCATAGAAACCTCAGTAAAATGGCAGCCGTACGGCCCGCACATGCGCAGATTTACACGGCTGTACATGCTTACCAACCAAGAAAATGGTGACCGGAACACTCGCGCATGCGCAGTGGGATGCGCGTCGGCCATTTTCAGAGAATCGAGTATCACCAAAAACATGGCGCTCGCGCATGCGCAGTAGGCCAAAGTACGGCAAAATGGCACTAGCGCGATTGGGCACAATTTTCTTCTATAAATAAGAGCAATTAGACGTTATGCCTGCATGGCATCACCCCTACAGCAGACGTGTCATTACACGAAACGTGTCTAGGAGGAGCCCTTGCACGCCTTGACGTCACACCTCCGGATCAGGAGGTCCGGCGGCCACCCCATGGTTCCTGTCAGGGCTCCAGGGATGACCAGAGGTGTGTGGACCGACACAGGGAAACACAGACTTCAGGTATAGCGTGTAAACAAGATAATTTATTAAGGACAAAACAAACATAAACGCAGTGCAACAAACCAAACCCAAAACTAACACAAATACATACAACAAGGTGAAACAAACCCAAACCTAAACTGATATATATACAGTATATAGAGAGAGCACAACGTAGTCAGGCGGGCCGGGTCGGTAGCTAACGGGCAAACAGGGTACCAGGAGCGAGCAGAAGAGTGGTCAGGAATAGCCGAGGTCAGGACAGGCGGAGTTCGTTCAGAGTCAGGATCAAAGCAGGATTAGGCAGGAAACAGACAGGATGCAGGTACAGGGGCTCATGGGAAACATACACCAAGGCACTGATCACAGGCCTGGTCCTGCTTAAATACACCTCCTGCAATCAACCTCAGGTGATGGCCTAATTGCAGGAGTGAGATTCTGGCTGCTGAGAGCACCCGCTGGCCAGCCTTGGTACTGCAGCCCACAAGGCAGGTGAGTCCCACCACCATTAGCGAGTCCATTCCTGACCGTACCCCCCCTCAAGGAGCGGCCTCAGGACGCTCCAAACAGTCCTTAGTGGGCAAAATGTTCCACCGCCTGAGTCAGGTAACTGGCTGGATATCAGGGGCTGGCACATCAGGCGGGGCAGCGGGCAGAGGCACATCAGGCAGAGCAGCGGGCACCGGGCCATCAGGCAAGGTAGTGGGCATCGGGCGGGGCAGCGGGCACCGAGTCATCGGGCAGAACAGCGGGCACCGAGTCATCTGGCAAGACAGCGGGCACCGGGTCACCAAGTTCGACAGCGGGTGCCGAGTCATCTGGCAGGACAGCGGGCACCGAGTCATCTGGCAGAACAGCGGGCACCGAGTCACCAAGCTCAACAACGGGCACCAAGTCATCTGGCAGAACAGCGGGAACCGAGTCATCTGGCACGACAGCGGGCACCGAGTCACCTGGCACGACAGCGGGCACCGAGTCACCAAGCTCGACAGCGGGCACCAAGTCATCTGGCACGACAGCGGGCACCGAGTCATCTGGCACGACAGCGGGCACCGGGTCACCAAGCTCGACAGCGGGCGCCAAGTCATCTGGCAGGACAGCGGGCACCGAGTCATCTGGCAGGACAGCGGGCACGAGACATCTGGCACGACAGCGGGCACCGAGTCATCTGGCACAACTGCGGGCACCAAGTCATCTGGCACAACAGCGGGCACCGAGTCACCAAGCTCGACAGCGGGCACCGAGTCATCTGGCAGAACAGCGGGTACCGAGTCATCTGGCAGAACAGCGGGCACCGAGTCACCAAGCTCAACAACGGGCACCAAGTCATCTGGCAGAACAGCGGGCACCGAGTCATCTGGCACGACAGCAAGCACCGAGTCACCTGGCACGACAGCGGGCACCGAGTCACCAAGCTCGACAGCGGGCACCGAGTCATCTGGCACGACAGCGGGCACCGAGTCATCTGGCACGACAGCGGGCACCGGGTCACCAAGCTCGACAGCGTGCGCCAAGTCATCTGGCAGGACAGCGGGCACCGAGTCATCTGGCAGGACAGCGGGCACGAGACATCTGGCACGACAGCGGGCACCGAGTCATCTGGCACAACTGCGGGCACCAAGTCATCTGGCACAACAGCGGGCACCGAGTCACCAAGCTCGACAGCGGGCACCGAGTCATCTGGCAGAACAGCGGGTACCGAGTCATCTGGCTAGATCAGGTCATCAGGCCGGATCGGGTCATCAGGCTGGATCGGGCCATCAAGCTGGGTAGTGGGCACCAGATCATCAAGCTGGATCGGGTCATTAGGCTGGATCGGGCCATCAGGCTGGGTAGCGGGCACCAGATCATCAGGCTGGGTAGGATCATCAGGCTGGGTAGGATCATCAGGCTGGATCGGATCATCAGGTTGGATCGGGTCATCAGACTGGATCGGGTCATCAGGCTGGATCGGGCCATCAGGCTGGGTAGCGGGCACCAGATCATCAAGCTGGATAGGATCATCAGACTGGGTAGGATCATCAGGCCGGGTAGGGTCATCAGGCCGGATCAAGTCATCAGGCTGGATCGGCTCATCAAGCTGGATCGGGTCATCAGGCTGGATCGGGTCATCAGGCTGGGTAGCGTACACTGGGTCATCAGGCATCAGGCTGAACAACGGAAGGCGGGTTCACAGACGGCAGGCTGACCGGTTTGGATACTGGTAGGATGGTACTGGTTGGAAAGAATTTTCGCTTCTTCTTGGGTTTAGTTAGTGGGGCATTGCAAGTAAATGCAGGTCTGTAAATGGAGGGAGTAGCTGGAGACAGAGAAGAGCTGGAGGATGGAACAGAGGAGGGAATAGTTGCTACAGCGGCCTTTTTTACAGGGTTAAAGGCAGGATAGGTGCAGCGAGTGGGAACAGGGTACTGACATGTGGTAGATAACAGGGTATATTGGGCTGTCACTGGGGGTGCTGTTGGGAATGCAGGAGTAGAGCTTTGAGCAGAGGAATGATTGGAAGCAGGACTGGCTTGTTGCGAGCTGCCTGAGGCTGGGTGTAACAAGTCTGACCAGGACTGTAGTATTGGTTGAACAAAGCTCAGCTTACACATAGCCTGTCTGACCAAAGACTGCACTGCGTTTATACAATCCATTAGCACCTGTTGTGAACATGCTGAATAATGCTCCAAGAAGCAATCCACATCATCCTCCAATAACCATACCAGTGACTCTACTTGGTCTGTACTAAATGGCGGCAAAAAGTCATCCCTGCTTTCTGGGGTACCAGATGAAGCCAACTCTGCACAAACCTGAATCAATGGTTGCGCCTCAGAGAGAACTCCATGCCCTGATCTACTAGGTAATGAGTGATCCATATGCATTCTAGCAGCTGATCCCTGGCATACTCCTTCAGAGTCTGATAGGCATAATCTCTGTCATCTAGGACTAGCAGCAACAAATACACAACATCCTCAGGGTGCATCCTTCACAACAATAAGCCAAGATGGCTTCCCTGTGCAGCCACTTATGGTCAGGACTGGCCTTGGTGTAATGTCAGGGCTCCAGGAATGACCAGAGGTGTGTGGACCGACACAGGGAAACACAGACTTCAGATATAGCGTATAAACAAGATAATTTATATAAGGACAACACAAACATAAACGCAGTGCAACAAACCAAACCCAAAACTAACACAAATACATACAACAAGGTGATATATGTATATATATATATGAAGCACAACGTAGTCAGGCGGGCCGGGTCGGTAGCTAACGGGCAAACGGTACCAGGAGCGAGCGGAAGAGTGGTCAGGAATAGCCGAGGTCAGGACAGGCGGAGTTCGTTCAGAGTCAGGTTCAGAGTCAGGATCAAAGCAGGATCAGGCAGGAAGCAGGTACAGGGGCTCATAGGAAACATACACCAAGGCACTGATCACAGGCCTGGTCCTGCTGTCTTGGAAATTCGCTTTAACGAATTTCTCCTTACCGTGAGTACTCGCAGTTGGATGCGCAGAAATCCCCCATAAAGCTCTGCGAATCTCGCTTACCACGACTGCAGCTTAGCCCCAAGATTCCTGCGCCTCCAACTGGGTTAGCTTCTGTTGAGATGTGGGGAATTGGAGCTCCGTTACCCAGGAATGATCACACGACACTCTCAGGTTGCTGTTGGAATTCACATAGAGGAAGTTTTCATTCTCAGCCTCTGGTTTTATTACAAACACACACATGCCCCCCATATGAATAAGGTCAATCCCCTCCCACAGAACAATGCAATGGGGAGTGCCTATACACAGGATGTACATTCCGATTGGAGCATAGCCTTTCCTTTTATCTATCACTGGTCCTCCCCCATGAGCCCTCTGAGGTCAGCAGGCTTCCTCCCCTCCCCCCATGAGCCCTCTATGGAGAGCATACTTCGTGTCCTAGCTCCTAGTGGTCTGTAAATTCCCTGTACAAGCATCCCTTAGGTTAAACAGTGTCTGTATCTGGATGGGCCCGATACGATCTTTATTAAAACACATCCATCCAGATACAGTTTCAGGTTCGTAATGGCTTGTAAGATATGCATAAGCATACACGTGGAGTTCGTACTGCTTGGCGCCTTGCGGCACGGAGTCCATGTGGTACTATGCTGCTGATATGTCGATACAGGCCCGCGGCCTACCGCCGGCGGCATTCGCATCGAATGCCGTGGTGGTATACACGCCGGTCTATAAGCGCAGATCTGCCATCTCATCCATTACCGAGCTGAGTACTGTAATACATACATTGTACATGCGCATGGCCCAATTGCAGCCTTCAGAGCTTTAATTAAGCCACACGAGAGACATATGAATAACACTCATATATGACACATTTAAAGTTCAACCAACAATACAAAATTTCCATGACACTGCTTAACCACTTGCCGCCCAGCCACCGCATTAAAACGGTTGCAGGGCGGCACTCACAGGCAAAACCACGTTTTAAAACGTAGTTTTGCAAAACAGGTAGGGGGCGCATGCGAGTCGCGCGCCCCCCTACCTGTCCCACGGGTGTCAGCAGCGGGTCTCTGCCGCCCTGTCATGGCCGGTGATTACCGTTCATTTTCCAGAGATGACCGGTAATCACTGACACAGACCAGGGCTGCATTGTTTACACACAGCCCTGGTCTGTGTCAGTTCTGTGACAGCTCGTGAAAGCTGAAGAAGGAGAGAAGAGTTTCTCTCCCTCAATCAGCTCCCCCCTCCCTCCCCCCCCGTCCAGTACACACCCCCGCCCCCTAGTAAAACACTCCCCTCACACACTAAACTCTAAAAATGTTAACCCCTTCCAGCCCAGTGTCATTAGTCCAGTGTCAGTGATTTTTTTTTTCCACTGATCACTGTATTGGTGTCACTGGGGATGTCAGTGACCCCAAGTTAGTTCCCCCCCAATGTCAAAATGTCCGCCGCAGTCCCGCAGTCCTACCATAAATCGCTGATCACCGCCATAAGTCCCTGATCACTGCAAAATGTCGCTGATCGCCGCCATTATTAGTATAAATAAAAATTAAAAATCCCAGTATCTTTCCCGCCATTTGTAAATGCTATAACTTTCATGTAAACCAATTAATTTACACGTATTGGGATTTTTTTTTTGCAAAGACATGTTGCAGAATGCATTTTGGATGCAATTTGTGACAAAATTAGATTTTTTTATTTTTTTTACTGGACATGTTTTATAGCAAAAAGTCCAAAATATTGTTTTTTTTTCTCAAAATTGTCAGCCTTTTTTTTTATAGCGCAAAAAATTAAAAACGCACAGGCGATCAAATACCACCAAAAGAAAGCTCAATTTGTGGGAAAAAAAAGATGTAAATTTAATTTGGGTGCAGTGTTGCATGACCGCGCAATTGTCAGTTAAAGTAACGCAGCAACGTAACAGAAAACGTTTCTGTAACCGCTTCCTGACCACCCTACAGCAGAAATACTGCTACAGGGCGGCATGAGTATGCAAAATCACATATATATATATACGTGATTCGCGCTCCCGTGGTTTTCACACCCCTCCCAGATAGCGTCAGATTGCCCGTCAGTACACCAGTCATCACATTTAACCCCTTGATTGCCAGGAACGCGCTCATGTACAATAATCCTCCATTGCTAGTATAGCGTCTGAACTGGTCAATATCTTTGATCAGGTCAGCACTATACCAGCGTTCACATTAATATAGTGTCCCCAAGAATGCAGCGTTAGCGGGATCAGCCCCGGAACCTGCCAGCACCTGCGTTTAGCCCCTACCCTTACCCCCCCCTTCTCCCCCCCGCAAGTGCAGTGTCAGTAGGTCACTGTCATTTGATACATTGCACACAAAACCGCAGTGTTCGCAGAATCAGGCCTGATCTCTGTTAGCACTTGCCGGTAAATTTTGATGACTCTCATATGCAGCAGAGTGCCAGTACTAGTGCCACTCTACCTTTTGGTGAACTGGCGAGTACCAGCGGTCTAGTACATCCTGGTCTTTCACATACCTCCTTGATTTTTGCAGCTGTTTTTCACGGAATATCTGTATGCGTTGATTGTGGATCAAAGCAATTTATATGCACAACAATTTATCGCCGCCAACCCAAATTCAAACCTTGCCAGACCATTCGCATGGAAACTCATTACAGTTTTCAAATTTACATTTTTTTTGGGCCTAACCCTCAACATGGGCATTACTAAAAGAAATGAATTGCGGTTGTGTTGGTCCGCAGACCCGATTCATCATATGCCGTGTTCTCTGCTGCCATGGCCAGGCATAGATATGAGAGTATAATGTGTTTTATGCATTTCAGCGACAATACACTCTGTCATCCTCGGGTGACCCTGAATTTGACCGGCTCCACAAAATTCAGCCCCTCGAAAATCACCTTAACCTAAAATTTGCAGATGTCTATACTCCCCAGCAAAACATCTGCATTGATGAGTCCCTGATGAATTTTTCTGGCCGCCTTGCATTCAAACAATTTCTCCCCAGCAAGCGTGCCAGATATGGGGTCAAGATGTAGAAGACCTGTGAGAGGACAACAGGCTATACTTATAAGTTTCGGATTTACGAGGGAAAAGATAGTCACGTGGAGCCCCCCGGATGCCCAGACTACATGGGGAGTAGTGGCAAGATAGTTTGGGACTTGGTGTCATCATTTCTCCATATGGGGTACCACTTATACGTGGACAATTTTTATTCAAGCGTGCCACTATTTAGACATTTGTTCAATCTTGGAACTGGCACTTGTGGCAAAGTGTGATCTAATGTGTGCCCACCATTAGAAGTGGGTGGATGCAGGGCGGTATATTCTAATGGTGGCATACCACACACTTTTTCTGGCAGAGATTTCTTCTTATTTTTTCATTCAGTCCACTGGCTGCATACAAAAAAAAAAAAAAAAACATAGCATATATACCAACAAGGACCAGCGACGTACTGGTACATCACTGGATTTGAATGGTTATACCAGGATGATGCCTACAGCTGCAGGCATCATCCTGGTGTCGTTTTTTTTTCAGCCGGT